GAGATTCATTCACGTTGTGGTTGCTTCATGTTCACTGCTGCGTAGTATTCCACAGCGTGGCCTACCATATTTCTTTATAATTCTCCTGCTGATGGATATTTATGTTGGTTCCATTTTTTTTTAGGAAAAAACTGGTTCCAGTTTTAAATTAATTTTTTATTTATATGTATTACATATTATACACACCTTAAAAAAATACCATCTTGTATTTTTTCCAGGGATTGAGCCCCATTTGGGCTCCCTGCTCATGAGCTCTCTCTCTCTCTCTCTCTCTCAAATAAATCTTTAAAATAATACCATCTCACTTTGGACGTACTTGTACACGCCTCCTTGGGCACCCCTGCTGGAGTCTCTATAAAATATGTATCCAGCAGCAGGATTGCTGAGTCAAGGTCATGCACACCTTCAACTTACTGGCTACTGTCAAATTGTTCTGAGGCAGGAATTTCTTCTCACTCTGGGTTTAATAAATTTTCTAACTTCCCTACTGAGTCATAACATCCTATTCTTTTATTTTTTATTTATTTATTTTTATTTATTTATGATAGTCACAGAGAGAGAGAGAGAGAGAGAGAGAGGCAGAGACATAGGCAGAGGGAGAAGCAGGCTCCATGCACCAGGAGCCCGACGTGGGATTTGATCCTGGGTCTCCAGGATCGCGCCCTGGGCCAAAGGCAGGCGCCAAACCGCTGCGCCACCCAGGGATCCCTATTTTATTTTTTAAAAAGAATTTATTTATTCATGAGAGACACACAGAGAAACAGGCAGAGGGAGAAGCAGGCTCCATGCAGGGAGCCCGACGTGGGACTCGATCCCGGGTCTCCAGGATCACGCCCTGGGCCAAAGGCAGGTGCTAAACTGCTGAGCCACCCAGGGATCTCCCTAACATCCTATTCTTTTAAAGAGATGCCACATTTGCCAGTGTTTTCTTAGCCTTTTTGCCTGTGGGCACGTAAGTGGGATGTTCCTCTTGTTTTTCCTTGGTGTTTCTTGTGGTTTGAATATCATTTTTTTTTTACAAGCTGACATAATTTATAAAAGATGCAAATCATCTCTTCCTTGAAGATTTGACAAAACTCACCCGAGAAACCATCCAGGAAGGTGCCTTGTATGGGGAATAGGTCCTCGACCATTGTTTCGGTATTCCCAAAGATGATTCACTTTTTTGTGGCGTGATTTTAATATTTATTATCTTAGGTTCTATTTTATCATTTCATGCATTTTAGTGGCATCAAGTTGTACATATGTGGTATATGCTCATCTTCCAAAATAGCTTCCCTGCAAAAGGAGTCGATCCCTCCCCACCTGTTTTTGACTTGTACCTATGTGGTCTTTCTACCAAAGATCTGCCTCTTTTTATGGTGTTTCCAAAGATCCAGACTTTTTTTTTTTTTTAAGATTTTATTTGACAGAGTGAGTGAGAAGCAGACTCCCCACTGAGCAAGAAGTCCAATGTGGGGCTCCATCCCAGGACCCTGGGATCACAATCTGAGCCGAAGGTAGATGCTTAACCAATTGAGCCACCCAGGCACCCCCAAAAGATCCAGCTTTTTATATTATTTTGTGTCAATTGTTGCTGTAGTTCCACATTTCTTAATTTGATTTTCCTTTTTTTTTTTTTAAGATTTATTTTAAGGAAAGAGAGAAAAAACATGATCATGAGTTGGGGGCAGAGGCAGAGGGAGAAGCAGACTCCTTGCTGAGCACAGAGCCCAACATAGGGCTCAATCCCAGGACCCTGAGATCATGACCTGAGCTGAATCCAAGAGTCCGATGCTTAACTGACTGAGCTTCCCAAGAGCCCCTAATTTTTAATTTTCTTAATATTTTCCCTAGACTTTCCTTTAGTTGGTCTTTCTCAGTAGATGATCGAGGTGAGATCTTTTTTTTTTTTTTTGAGGCGATATCTTTACTAGTTTATTTCCTTACTTCATAAATTTATATAAAGGCTACGTGTTAGCCTCTGAGTCCCTCTTTGGCCGCTTATTTCGTTTACATTCGGTGATCTCCCTCCCCCATAAATGCATTTAAGGTTTGAAATTGACCTCTGAGTACATTTCTGGTTTTCATTTGCAATGGTCTCGTCCTCCAGCCCTAAATATCTGGGACTTTACTTGGTAAATATGATTTACCTTTCACTCCTATTTAAACCCTTTCGACTCCGTGGACTCGAGGAACATGGGCAACACTAATGTAGAATATTATTGCATTGGGGCTGGTGAGTGGAGTCTGAATGTTGGGCTCAGCTTTATGGCCTAACACATGGTCTGGTTTTGTGATGGTTCCAAGCGTTTGGACAGAATGTACCTTGTTTGTTGGGTACGAAGTCCCGTACATGTTGATTTGATGCGTTTGCAACAGCATTAATCATCTCAAGACCTCGATTGTTTGGTCAGCTTGGTCTTTGCATCCCGAGTTAGATGCAGTCTCCTGCTCTGCTGTGGTTTGATCCATTTCTTCTCAGGGGTGTTTTTCCCTTAGACATTTTAATATGATGTTGTTGAGGACAGTGTGTGTATGGCACCCCCCAGTGCGCTCTGGCCCCCTGACAAGTCCTTGGTGATGGGCTGTGCTCCAGGCTTTGTCCCTTCCAGCCTGGCGCTGCCACGCGTGGGTGAGGCTGGCCTCGGGCAGGTGGGACGCAGGTGTCTGGAACATCTGCACGGTGGCTGTGGGAAGTGGGCAGATTCGGCTCCCTGTCCAGGCTCCACCGCGTACTGTGTGATCCTGGGTGAGGCACTGGACTTGTCTGGGCCTCCGTTTCCTTATCTGCCCACTGATGCATTGCTGTAAGGATTACATGAGACCTTAGGCACCGATCATACAGCAACTACTCCATGAATGGGGATGGATGTGACCGTATGTCCTGTGGCAGGGCCGAGGCGACTGGAGATGCTGTCCCAGTGGTCATATCCGTGGGTTGAGGCAATTCCTTGGGATCCTCAGTTTCCAAGAGGTCTTCACATCCATCCCTACCTGCCATCGCCCACCACCAGCCATCGGCATGAGCATCTCAAGGGCTGAACCCCAGAGCAGAGGGCCACACACGTTCACTTTCCCTGAAGATCTCCACCCCCTCGTCCAGTTTCCAGTAGGGAGTGGAAAGTAGACCCTATTTAGATACTTCAGTCTCAGTGGCTCAGGAGACCGAAGAAGGGAAAGAGGAGATGCTCCCTTAGAGGGGCTTTGAGGGCTGGGTTCTCGGGGCAGAGAGGTTCTCCGGGTTCTCTCTTGGTCAAGTCCTGGATGACTCAGGGAAGAACAGGCTTGGGGTAGAATCTGTTTTGTCCCTTTTGTCCCACAATCTAAGAGGATCCCAACCCCCCTACTTGTCATCAGAACTCAGGAGCTGCTCACTGTGGTCCCACATGCTTCTTTTTAAGTTTTTAAAAAAGATATTATTTATTCATGAGACACACACAGAGAGAGAGGCAGAGACAGAGGCAGAGGGAGAAGCGGGCTCCATGCAGGGAGCCTGATGTGGGACTCATTCGATCCCAGGACCCTGGGGTCATGCCCTGAGCCAAAGGCAGACGCTTAACCACTGAGCCACCCAGGTGCCCTTAAAGATTTTACTTATTTATTTGAGAGAAAGACAGCAAGAGAGAGCACGGGCCTGGAGGAGAGGGGGTAGGCAGACTCCTCGATGTGGGACTCGATCCCAGGCCCCAGGATGATGACCTGAGCAGAAGGCAGAGGCTTCACCGACTGAGCACCCCCCCGCCCAAAGGCGTCCCTTTTCTTGATTGCACTTAACCTATGGCTTATCTACTTCTGGTGTTTTCAAAAAGTTTTTCATTTTGTTAACACAAAAGAATAACCTCAAAACCATCCCCAGTTAAATCCAATCCAACTTTTATCTTATTTTGACTTATTCTGGTCTGTTCTCGTTATCTGAATGCAAAGCTTGGTCCGTTTCTTCCTGGAGCTCACTTGTTTCCAGTGCGTCCGAGGCTGCGCACGTTCCGCTGGGTACCCCCTTCTCACCGTGCGACGCACTCACTGATGGGCTCCGTTTCAATGGCTCCGTGATTTGTATGTGGCTCCTTCTTTAACCTGTGCCTTGTTTAGAAACATACTTTAAAAATTTCCCACCAGAGGCCCTTCCCAGGGGAGGGCTGGCTTTATCTCAGAATCCACTCCTGGGGGCCAAGGTCTGGTTCTCTTCCCCAGTATTTGTTTCTTGGGACTTGTGGAGACCGCGACAGCTCACCTGTGTTGAGTGTTCTTATGTGTGTGCAAGAATTCTGCAGGTGGGGGACGTGGGACCTGATCAATCTATGGGCCTAAGCTGATTTGTGGTACCGGTCACATGTTTTATATCCACGGACTCCTGGATCTGATGGCTTCTCAAGCGGGTGGCCCCACCTGCCTAGGCTGGGCCCCTGCCCTCGCCAAGACCGCCCGTTCTTGCCTCTGGAGCTTGTGCTTGACCCTGGGAGGGAGGGCTCGACCCACACCCAGCCCCCATGCCCGGGGAGGAGCAGACTCCGACGAGGACGCCCCAGCGCCTGCCGGGCTCGGCGTGTGGACCCACTCCCGGGGTGGCCCACGGCGCGGGCAGGTCACCGGCTCCAGCGCTGACCCCTCCGGGGAAGGCAGCACGGCGCGCTACGCGGCGGCCGGGGAGGAGACTGGCCCGAGCGCGATCCCCAGCTCCACTCCCATACACCCTGCGACTGTGGGGTGGCGTGTGCCCCTCTATGAGCCCTGGCTTCCTTATCTGTAGACTGGGCCACCGCCGACGCCCCGCGGGGTCACTCTTATGACCAAGAACGTGAGGCAGCCCCCCTGCGGACGCGGGAGCTTCGGATCTGGGCTCCGCGCCCACGACGGCCCCGAGGTGCTGTGCGATCTCGGGCACCCATCACGTCTCTGGGCCACCTTCCTTACCGGACCACTTACACGATGGGATGAGAACACACCAGCTCTCCGGGCGCCCTCCTGTCCCAGGGACGGGGCGGGACAGACGGAGGCACGACAAACACTCCACCACCGGCCGGGGTCAGACGATCTTCCTTTAATACAAAGTCGATATATCTACATACGCAGAGGTGGGAAAGCCACCCGGCTGCTTCCGTTTGAATAAACAGTGTTGAAAGCATCGGCAGATCCGCTCTTGTACAAAGAGGAAAAACTCACTTGCTCGGGGGTCTGGGGGTGGGGGATCCCATCCTTCTGCTTCTGCCCCCAAACTGCCCCATGGTCCCGGGGGGAAAGGGTCCCTGATCCGGGCAGAACATGGCCTCTCTCTCCCAGAAGAAGTGGGACCTCCTGTCTTGTTTGATCCTCCTCCTCGGGGGCGCAGGAGATGGGGGCGGGAGCGCCGCGGTGGCGGCGGGGCTGGGGGCGGGGGTCACTGCCATCGCCTCGGCGGCAGCACCCACCCCATGGGATTTTAAACCTGACGCTGGTGGGCCGGAGCCCCCCACTCGCCGCTGCCCCCCCCCCACTGGTCCTTGATATGTTTCAGAATTAAAAAAGAAAAAAAAAAAGAAAAATGCAAAAAGGGAAGAATTCAGGTGCACAAGGGCGTTCTACTTTGTTCAATCGTCCTCCTCGGGGGGGCAGGAGATGGGGGGGCTCAGGCGGCCCCGGGGGGCGGGTCGCACGCCCGCGCACCTGCCAGCACAGCCGCCGCACAAGAGCGTTCTCTACGGTGAAAAAATAGACTGTCTGTGAACGGAACAGGAATAAGCAAAGTTCTTTTTAAATTTGTTGACTGGCGAAGTCTTTTTTTTTTTTTCCTTTTCTGTTTGTTTCTTCTTAAAAAAAAAAATGAAAAAAAATACACTATTTAAAAAAAGAAATGTCACTGGATACAGTTACACAGAGTCTGAAAAGAAAAGCTGAATTTCGCAACCCCGTCCCCCCCCCGGGGCCCGGCGCCCCCAAGGCTGCAGGCGGAGAGGGCTCCCCCCGCCCCGGAGAGGACCGGGGGGGCTCAAGCGCACGGCCCCGGCCTCCTCGGGTTACGGGGAGAACCCCTGTTTGCTCGCTGCCCCCCACCCCCCCACCCCAGAATCTCTCATTTGGAATCGGAAGGAAATGAGGAATGTGCCAAGTATCGGAAGGCGGCGGCCGGTGCCAGGGGGCTGCTGGGTGCCGCGCGGGGGGCTCGGGGCCGCGGCGTCCCTGGAGACCGTGCAGAAACGTGGCCGCTGCCGCCTCCCGCCCTGGCCGCCGGGGGGCCAGGCTTCCAGGGCCCAGCCCGGCAGGGGCAGAGGCATCCGGGGCCGGTGGAGTCTGGCCAGCGGCGACCATGGCTTTAGGTTGCATAGTGGTCAAAGCTTCCGAGGTACTCCAGCGCGGCCTGGTAGCAGAACTGGTACTCGTCCTGCGGGACGGCGGGAGCGGGGCTGTCAGGGCCTCCGCGGCCCGGCGACCCCTGGGGTCCCCATCGCTCTTAGCTCCTGCAGGGGCCACACCCCCACGGGCCGGGCTCTGGCCCCGGCCGCCCTCCCCTCCGCTGGCCTGGAAGCCCCCCTCCCCGCCCACCACCCGTGGCAGGGCCCCGGGACGGGATGGCCTCGAGGACACTTGGGATGCCCAGCACGTGATCGCGGGCAAGTCCCATCCGGGGAGCCGGGGTGGGGGGCTTCTGGATCTCGGGCGCCTCTCTGCCCACCCCGAGTCCAGGTGGACTGCGCCCACCTCACGCGCTCACCTCCGTCTGCACCATGGCTGGCCTCTGGGTCCGCAGCATCTTCACCGTCTGGAAGATGTCCACCACGCCCTCGTACCGCATGCGCTCCAGCACGATGCTGAGCGTGATGAAGACGCCCGTCCTGCCCACGCCGGCGCTGTTGGGGCGAGCACAGGCATTCGGGGGTGGGTTCAGGGAACCCCACTTGACCGCCCGATACATCAGGGACAGAGAGAACCCCAACCTGAGAGCCTGCGTGAAGCCTCACTAGGCCTCAGTTTCCCCAGCTGGACAACAGGCACGGGGGCTTGAGAGGCCGCTCACCTGCAGTGGACAGAGATGGGGCCGTCCTGGCCGAACTGTTCCTTGGTCTTGTGCACTTGGCCGATGAAGTCAATGAAGCCCTCCCCCGACTTTGGCACGCCCTGCTCCGGCCAGTCCGTGAACTGGAACTGCCGGACCGTCCGGGACTGGCCATCCTGGAACGGGGAGAGGCCGGCGGGACCACTGAGGTCGGTGCGGTCGGGGCTGGTTGCCCGCTTGGGCCAACCTCCCGCCAACACCACCCTCAGCCCCGGGCTGCTCCCCGGAGCCCACCTCCTCATCCAGTGACATCACCTTACATGCCCCCACCCCGTTGGCATCTCCCAGAACCATCGGCCACCGCCTAAGTGACATCCAACACCACCACCGGCCACCAACCCGGCCGCCATCCCACCGTGCACCCAACACCTGCCCTTCCTAGTCCCCGCCTCCCCTTCCTCCTCGCTCCTCCTCCGGCAGCAGCACCAGCCATTCCACCACCTTCTGCCCTTTGCCCAACAGAACGCCACTGTCTACTGTTACTGTCACCTGATACCCCGTCCCGTCTCCTCCCCGCTGCCCACTGTGCGTAACTCATAATTCCTGGCCGCCACCACCCACCGTCCCCATCTTGGCAGCGCCACCCAACGCCGTCACCCTCCGTGGGCTCCGACCAGGGGGACCCAATGGCCCCAAGTCCGGGACTCCTCACTAGTGAGCGCTCACCCCGCCAGGTGAGGGCGCTGTCTTCCACTCACCTCTTCATGCACCTGTTCCCAATCGCCTTGTCTCTCCCTCGGTGGTGCCCCCAGGGATAACCCCCTCCCCCTCCCCCCCCACACCCTCCATCCCCCCTCCCTCTCTCCTGGTCAACGGGAGCTTGTCTTTGCTACTCAGTCATTTCCCGCGATCGTCTCCACTGGCCCCAGGCCACACGCCTGCCCTTCTCAGCATCCTCCTCCTCTGCCCGTCCTGGTGTCGCCGCCCCAACCCTACCTGCCTCCCCCACCTCCCACACCATCCACGCGTGTCCCCTCTGCCATGTGCGACAGCACTGCCCGATTCTCCAGCCCCACGTCCATCAATCCAACGGCATCGTCTCTTACCACCCAAGTGCCACGACCACCCATGCTGCTCACCATCCGCTGGCGTCACCGTGACTGTCCATTGTCCCACCCCTGCATCCTCCAATGCCCTCTCTTTCGCCACTGAGTGATCCCCCCCAACCCGGGGCCACCTGCCACTTGCCACTGTCCATTGGCTGCCGACAAACCCCTCACCCACCACCACCGCTACCCTCCACCCACACTTCCTGCCCTGGTGCTACCACCAGTGCCCGCTGACCACCACGGCCCAACTCCTGCACCCCCGTCCTGCCTCCCCCGTCCTGCTTTCAGCGCTGCCACATGGTCTGTGGGGAACACGCTGCTCACTCCCTGTTGCACGATCCCCTTGGGCCTCTGTCCCTGGAGCGCGGGGTGCAGGGGGACACGGTGGGACCAGCGTGCTCTCACCACGTGGTGGTAGGACTGACAGGCCTACCCTCTTCTTCCTCCCAACCCTCACCGCTCATTCCTCCCCCGGGCTTTGGCTTCTGCCCCCAAATAGGGAAGCCCCTGCCGTCACGAGGCGCCGTGCAGCAGGGCCCGGCGGTCCCACATCTCCCGGCGATCCCTCCGCACACTCACCCGGGCGTCTGTGACCTTGAACTCCCGCAGGATATACTGAGGCATGTTGTATTCCGCCATCGGATCCACTACGAAGTACTGGTAGCGGGCGGAGCGCTCGGCCGGCCAGTACTGGTGACACTTTTCCTGCGGAGGAGACGGCGGCTGCGGTCAGCCCGGCCTGAGGCCCGCCCCTCCCCGCCCCGGGGCCCACGCTCACCCGGCCCATCTCGCGCAGCTTGGTCAGCATCACCACGATGGTAGAGTTGTTCTCCCAAAGCATGCGCCAGAAGTCCTCCGTGGTTTCCGCCAGCGGCCCCTGCGTCGCGATGTAGGCCTTCTGCTGCCTGCGGTGGGGGGCGTGTGAGGCCGGGGCCACGGCTGGGCCTCCGCTGCCTCCTCAGGCTCGCGGGCCGGCGCACCGGCCCCTCCGCGTCTCCCCGAGCCTCCCCATAACCCCGTCTTGCGCAGGTGGGAAGCCATCGGCCTCGGGAGAAGTTCCAGCACCCCCAGGAGGCTGCAGGACGGCCGCTGACTTCGCCTGCCTCCCTTCCTTGCAGGTGTCTGCACCTGTGAAGCCCTCGGTCACCCCCAGCCTCCGTGCAGGCGGGGCCTTCTGCGCCCAACGCCCGCCCTGGGCCGGGGCTTCTCAACCTCGACACCAACACTGGGGGCTGGACCGGCCCGTGATGGGCACTGTGGGGTGCTGGGCGGCACCTTGGGCCTCCACCTGCCCGATGCCAGGAACAGCTGCCCTCCCCGGCTCCCACTGTGACAAATATGTCACCAGACGCTGCCCAGTTTTCCTTGGGTGGCGGAAACGCCCAGACTGAGAAGCTGACGCATAAGGACAGATGGAACCACGATGCAGACGGCAGCCATCACTTAAATGCACAACCAATTCCCTCCACCTTAGGGGTGACCGCACGAGGCGGGGAGCGCGCCCAGCTCTGTCTCCCATGGGAGGCCGGAGACCCCTTGGGGCAGGGCAAAGGCAAGGCACCTGTAGCCGTCGATGAAGCTGGCGTTGATGTAGTCGGAGCCCTCCACCCCGCGGATGGGCTGCAGACAGACCCGTGTGCTCTCGTAGGGCATGATGTTCACCAGGCGGTTCTTGAACTTGTTACAAGGCAGATTGGCACTGATGAAGCGGGATGTGTGGGCTTTGGAGTTGGCCAGGCGCTGTGGGGACGAGGGGCGTGGGGGTCACCAGCAGGACAGCCTCTTGCCAGGTGCTCTCCCAGCCGGCACGTGGACGTGGAGTGTGGGTGGGGGCGCAGCACCTTCCCGGCCGTCGCTGGGGGCAGCCCTGACCTCCGGCCCCCCACCCCGACCAACCTTGAACTCAAGCTCCATGCCGGTGACGTGCTCGCCGGGCTCCACCTGGGCCAGCTTCTGGATGTAGGCGTAGAGGCTGCGGGCGGGCACCTCCGTGTTGCCACAGCCCACGGCCTCCAGCAGGGCCTCGTGGATGAAGCTGTACTGGTCCTCCGTCTGCACCATGTAATTGCGCTGGGACCGCATGAGAGTCACATGGCCGTACACGTCCACCGTTTTCTCCGGCTTGATCCGCTCCAGCATGGCATCGATGACGATGAAGCAGCCGGTGCGGCCCACGCCGGCGCTGTGGGCACAGGCACGCGGGTCAGGGCCCCCCACGCAGCGCCCGGGGTGGGCGGGGGGGACGGCCTGGGAGCTACCTGCAGTGCACGACGACGGGGCCTGCGTCCGGTGGGTTGCACGTCTTCACCCTCCGCAGGAAAGCCAGGAAGGGCGTTGGGTACTCGGGCACCCCGTGGTCCGGCCATGCCGTGAACTGGAACTGGCGGACCTCACGCTTCTCGCTCGAGCCATTCTGGGGGCCACAGGGACGCGGCCTGTCACAGCGGCCCCCCGTGTGCGTAGGGAGGCGGCCAAGTGCACGCCCGGGGGCCCCCACCAGGGACTCATGGGTCTGTCACAGTGTGGCCAACACCATGCCCCGACTTGCTCCCCAAATCTGCCCCCATCGCAGCTGGCGCAGCTGGTGGGGGCTCCAATCTTTTGGGGCCTCCAGCCAGAACTCAGGAGTCACCCTAGACTCGCTGCCCCTCCCAATCCCGCCGGCTCTGCCTCCATCTACCCCAAACCCGCCCACTTCTCACCCCCTCCGTGGTGGCCACCTGGGGTCCAGTCCCCTCCGTGCTGGGGCCACTGCTCCCACCCTCGCCCCAACACTCTGCACTGCCCCCGCCACAGCGGCCACCAGAGGGCCCATAGTGAGCACCTGAGTCAGGTCTGCTGCCCACCCTCTAGGGCTCCCACCCGCCTTAGGGTAAAAGTCCAAGTCCTCCCCGAGGCCCTGCCCTCTCGGCCTCCCTCACTCTGCTACAACCTAACATCGGCCTCCCCATTGTGTCTCCATCATGCCAGGCATGGTCCTGCCCCAGGACCTTTGCACAGGCTCAGCCTCTGCCAACAGTGCTATTTTCCCAGATCTCTTGACTCCCTTTCTCACCATCTCCGGGTTCCCTGACACACGCTTTATTTTTCTCATTCTGCACGTTAAGATGCATCACTTTACGTATTTACTGTCAACGCTTTTCCGCTAGACTATGCTCCAAAAGGGCAAGACATTTTGTCTGCCCTGGTCCTTGCTGCGTCTCAGTGCCCTAGTCAGGGCCTGACACACAGTGAGTGCTCCGTGTCGACACAGGACCCGGCTGGAGTCTGGGGAACGCCGCGATGCCGGCAGCACCCGCCCTCCCCAGCACAGCAATGAAAACACGTCCTCTGGACGCCAGACTGCCCCAGCTACGAACTGGCGACACAGAAGACGGAGCTGGCAGCAACCGCCCGTTAAATACGCGTCTAAAGATTCGCTCTGCCCAGGCCCAACTGCCCAGGCTGGCAGGGACTTTCCAGCTCTGCCTCCCACCCGTCACAGGCCTGGGCTGGTTTTGTCCTCCTGCTGTGGCCGGACACGAGCGGTGCCCTCTCTGGGCCTCGCTGCCCCAGGCCAGTCAGCCCGGGCCGACACGCTCCTCTGCCTGACAGGAGCTCCCGGGCGGGCAGCTGCCCTTCCTTCTTCCTCTTCCGCCCTCATCACCAACCCGTCCCCCGCCCGGGCCCCACCTTGTGCAAAGAGAACGTCCGGACACAGAATGTGGCCAGCTCGATGGTGTCCAGCAGTGTGACCTGGATGAAGCCATAGCTTTCCATGCCCCTGTTGGGCCAGTACTGATCGCACTTGATCTGCAGGAGGCGAGAGAATAGAGGTGAGCAGGGGCTGGGGGGCGCAGGGGCTGCTGGGGCAGGGGCAGGGATGGGGGCTGGGACAGGGGCCAGGATCGAGGGGGGCATGGGGGCTACTGGGGCTGGGGCAGGGGTTGGGGTTTGGGGATGTGGGGGCTTCTGGGGCAGGGAAAGGGGCTGGGGGGCGCGGGGGCTGCTGGGGCAGGGGGGGTTGGGGTAGGGGGGTGCAGGGGCTGCTGGGGCCAGGGATGGGGTGGGCTGGGGAGGCGTGGGGGCTGGTAGGGCAGGGCCAGGGGCCAGGGCGGGTTGGTGGACATGGGGGCTGCTGGGCAGGGACAGGGGGGTATGGGGGCTACCGGGGCAGGGGCAGAGGGGATCAGGAGCTGCTGGGGCAGGGATAGGGCCTGGGGGCAGAAGGCTCAGGGGCGGCAGGGCCAGGGCCAGGGGCCAGGGCGGGCTGGTGGACATGGGGGCTGCTGGGACAGGGCAGTGTGGGGCTGCTGGGGCAGGGGCTGGGGCGGGGGGGTGCAGGGGCTGCTGGGGCAGGGGCAGGGGCTAGGGGGTGCGGGGGCTACTGGGGTCAGGGCAAGGGGGTGTGGGGGCTGCAGGGGCAGGGGCTGCTAGGGCCGGGGCAGGGGCAGGGGCTGGGGGCTGCATGCAGGGTCGGGGCCCACCCGTGATTTCTCCTCCAGCCGCGTCATCATGACGATGGTAGCCGACCGCTGCTCCCACACCATTCTCCAGAAGTCGCCGAAGGTCTCCGGCAGCGGCCCCTGCGTGGCGATGTAGGCATTCTGCCGCCGGTAGCCGTCCACGTAGTTGGCGTTGATGTAATCGCTGCCCACGATGCCTACGGCCAGGGAAGAAGCCAGAGATCGGGGCTGGGTCGGTGCTGCTGTCTTCCACACCAGTTCTATCTGGCCCACCGCGTCCTGGAAGCCCTCCTGGACTGCCCCAAGCTGCCCCCTGAGAGGAACCACGGGGCCTGAGTTCTGCGGTCTCTCCACCTCAGCACCACTGTCCCCAGGAGCCAGACGTCCCATGCATTGCAGGCGTCTCTGGCCTCCAAACTCTAGGTGCCACTAGTTCCCTTGCCCCCAGAATGTGAGCACATAAATGTCCCCAGACATCGCTGAACGTTCTCTGGGCACTGAGAGCCACTGACGTCGAGGGACAGATGGAGCCACATTACGGACGGCAGCCATCAGTTAACTACATGTCCCGAAATTCCCAGTCGCTCCTGGCTGGAGCTGGGCCAGGCCTGTGGCCAGCACCGGGCCTCAGTGTCTCCCCATCTGTGCCCCAGCTCGTCCGCACGGGGTCTGTGCACACTCTCTGGCACCGGGAGGCAGGGAGGGCCCGAGCCGCTACCTTCGATGGGCTGGAGGATGACGCGGGAGTGGTCATACGCGATGACGTTGGCGTAGCGGTTCTTGGGCTTGTTCACCTCCAGGTTGGAATGCTCCCACGTGAACTGCTGGCCCGGATCGATGGACTGCAGGGGCAGGTGAGGTGGAGGCTTCAGGGGGGGCGCCGGGGGGCTGTGGCGGGGGCGGGAGGCGGGCGGGGGGCTCACCTCGTACTCCTGGGAGAGCTTGAGGCTGTCATTGGCCTTGAGGCGTTCCGTGTGCTCGGCCATGTCTGCGATGGGGATCGGGGGGTGGCTCAGCATGCCTGGTGGGGGGGAGAGCAGACCCCGCGGTGCGGGCCGGTCACTCGGCAGCCAGCCCGGGGGCCGGCGGGCGGGGGGCGCTCTGCGGTGTGAGTCTGTGATGGACGAGCTGTGGTTAGAGCACGTGGCGGGGAGAGGAGGGGTCTGGATGGCCCCCCCACGCTGGAGCCCGGAGCCCAGGCCTGCGTGGGAGGGGGGGTCCTGTCTGCAGGTGGGCTGTTGGAGGAGCGGCTCCCAGCTGAGTCTGACATCCCCGGCTTATGATGTCGGCCCATCCTGGTGCCCCCAACCCAGCTGGGGGATGCAGGGGGCCCGGGAGGGGTGGCCCCCGAAGTCTCCAAGCTTCTGGTGCTTCGTGGCAAGAAGCAGGTGAGTGACACACAAAGCAGCAGACACAGCTGGCTGCGTTCCCCAGGGCGGGGGGCCCACACCCCTGTCTGCCCGTCTGGGTTCAGAGTGGGGAGCTGAGGAACCGGGCAGGCTGTGTGCCCGGGGGGGTTCCCCATTTCTTCATGTGAGCCCCTGACCTCTGAGGGCTCTGCACCTGCTGCGAGGACGGTGACCCCCTCGGGGCAGGGGAGCTGCTGGGGGCAATGGGGGGGGGGGACCTGGCTCTTTCTCCCCAAGACCTTGCTCCTGTCCTGGGGCCCAATGGGCTGAGCCCGGTGCTGGCACAGAGGCAAACCCTGCAGGCTGCAGGCTGGTGGGCACCTGCCGTCCCTGGCCCCCCTGGGCGCTCCCCAGAAGTGCCCTTATCTGAGAAGTGAAGCTGGGGTCCGCCTGCTTGCCCTGTGGGTCCCCCTGCCTCTCATGCAGGACCACCCTGTCCCCCCACCCCCCCCACACACCCACGCAGTCACAACCAGCGACCTAAGGACCCAACAGACCAGACCCCAGCTCCCTTGAGAAGCCAGCGCAGGACGGGTGGACAGAGACCGGGGGCGGGATGGAGAACCAAGATGAGAACAAACGGGGGGACGTGGGGGTGGGGGGCGCGCAAGGAAGCCAAGAACAGAGAGACACAGGAACTAACTTTCAAAGTGAAACCCCGGCTCTCTGAGGGGGCTGCTGAGGCCTGAATCTGCAGAAACAGCAAACAATAAATAAATGAAAACACACGGGGGGGGGGGGGGGGGGACACACCCGCCTCCCCCACCCCTCGCAGGATGCACGCACAACGGCCGGCCGACAGACGCAGAGGGGCAGAGAGACTCGCACAAGGGAATGCACGCTGCCCGGGTGCCCCCCGGTGCCCTGTCCCCCCCCCCCCCGAGAACCTACGGGAGCCGCTGGGGATCTCTCTGGAGCAGTTGGGATTCCGGGAAGGTTCCAAAGCCCTAGGCCTTCTGTCCATGTGTCTCCCCTCCCTGCACCCCAGCCAACCGGGCCTCAGGTCCCCCGCTGGGGTGGGGGGGGGTCAGCAGAGGAGATTTCAAATGAGGTGCAGTGCAGTGAGGGCGGAACTTGAGGGCAGGGGGACGCGTGGGCCCATGCCGTGAGCTTTACAGGGTCAACTACTAGGAGTTACGACTATTAGTTAAACGCACGTGAGTTAAAAATCCTCACTCGAGTGAAAAAAGAAGCGACGTGACCTAGTCCAGGGACAGAAAAGCGAAGGGAGTACATTCGAGGTGCCGCGTGGGGCCGCTCGTGATCCCTTCGGGAGGACTGCAGCCACCAGTTAAATAGGAGCGATCAAGACCCTCATGTGCATAAAAACAGAACCGGTGCGAGTCAGTCTGGCCGCAGAAGAGAGAAAAGGCGTATAGTAAGGATAGCGTCTGAGGCCATGCGCGAGCCCTGGACGGGGACTGCAGCCATCAGTTAACACACAAATGTTTAAAGCCCTCCGTGGGGCTGGAAACGGTTACTACAGAGACAGGAAGCAGACAGGAAGTTCAGAGACAGGAAGCAGAGGCTGGGGCGGGTGGAGGGACAGGTGTAACCGCTCTGCGCGACCGCCTAAGGAGAACAGCGGCCATCAGTTAAATGGAAAGCTCCTCCCTTTGGTTAGAAGCAGCTGGCACAGGCCCAGTAAGAGGGGAGAATGGTGAGGGCGTGTGGGGGTCACCGTGCGTGCCGGCGATCAAGGACAAGACCCTGGCTCATCGGGGCTCTCCCAGGCGTGGCAGGGACCCTGGGCGGAGCCCCCGCGCATCTCCAGGGAGCACGGGTCACCGTGGACGAGAGATGTGCAGGGCAGGGGGGAGGCACAGTCTTTGTACCTCACTGGGGGCGGGAGGGATGGGACATCCCATGGGGGGTGTGGGAAAAGGCTAAGGAAAACCCCAAACACCCTCCACAGAGCGTCCCTAAGACCAGGAGTGGGAACCAGAAGCACCGCGCTTTCTGGCCGAAGAAATGCGGCTCCTTTGGCTCATCTCGGTTTTGTTTTTAGGTGTCCTTCCTGCTCCCAGAGACGCCCCCGACCGCCACTTGTGTGAGCGCAGCTTTCCAGAAGCCTCGCTTGGTTGCAACCAGAACCCATCCTCGGCAACTGCCAAGCCGGGGTCCACCGAGGGCTCTGGGAACCAGGCGTCTAAACTGCAGCCAACGGCTCCGCCAGGGGCCGCCGAGGCCCGCCGAGGGGGCCGCGTCCTCTTCTCTCGCGCTACCTGCCCCCGGCGGCGTTGATCCCGGGATTAGGGACATACCTGGTGTCTGGAAGTTAATGCGCCTCATTTCCACGGGGTCCTTGGGGTGGTGGGGGGCGAGGTCAGCGTTGTTCAGGAGGCATTTGGTGCGGGGCTCCGAGTCCTTGCGTTTACTGTGTGGGAGCAAGCGGGGGGCGCGGTGAGCACCCGCGTGTGCCCAAGACGCACGTGTGCACGCGAGAACAGCCGTCAGGGCCCACGGACGCGCGACCCAGCCAGGGGTGGGGGAAGGGACTGCGAACTGGCGCGACTGGGGTTCCCGGGACCACACACGGCGTCCCCTCACCCGCTGGGTGTGCCCCGGCCCGCTCCCCATCCCCGGCCCCTCGCCTGAAGCCTCCCAGGACGAGGCCAGTCCTTACCTGTCAGGCTTGCTGCTCCCAGAAGCAGACACAGGTTAGAAGGAGGGAAAAGGAGACAGATGAGGGCGGGCGCGCTGGCCACGCCGCACGTGTCCTGTGACGGTGGTGGGTAGGGCTTTTTTCTTTTTTTTTTTTTAATTTTCTTTTTTTGTTTTTACTGAAATTCGATTTGCCAACACACAGTGCTCATCCCATCACGTGCCCCCTCAGTGCCCGTCACCCAGCTACCCCAACCCCCCAATGGGTACGGAAGGGGAGGTGGGGGGTGGGGCTTTCTTAACCACTGGGAGCCTTGGGGTCTACAGGGAAACGGGCCTAATCCCTCCACCTGGGTCCCCATCTCAAGGAGGTGAGCTCCGGCCTCCCCTTCCCGAGCAGAGACGCATCCCATGTGGCCGCGATGGTTCCTACCCTCACCACGCTCAGAGGGAGCCTCCGCCCCAAACCCTCCTGCTGAGGGGCACGTGAAGCCCGACAGGAGTCTGAACCCTGGCCCTGCCCCTCCCCAGGCAGCGTGACTCTGGCCCAGTGGTTCGACCTCTCTGAGCCTCTACTGCAGTGGTCCTCCCGCGGAACCAGCCCTCCCTCAGAACCTTCTGGAACCTCCCGCCTTTTCCAGGAGGCCCTCCCTCCTGTCAAGGGGGGTGTGGGGGGGTGCCGGGTTGGGGGGCTCACTTCTTGTAGAGCAAGATGGCAATGACGATGCAGATGATGAAGACCACCGCCAGCACGGGCCCGATCACCCAGATGAGCCCCTCCTCGCCGTCCACGATGGGCTGGGGGTCTGGGTTGTCCAGCTGGAAGGGGTCCGAGAACGGGCTGGCCGCAAACGTCTGCGGGAACGGGGCAGGAGGGGCCTCGGTCAGCGCCCGTCCTACGCACGCTGGCCGGACGGGGCCTCTTTGAACGCAAACCTACGTCCCTCCCCTCCTCTCAGCGCCCCCACGCCTCCTGAAAGCCCTGACCCTGGTGGCCTGCATGGACCTTCCGCAGCCTCCACTCCCCCCACCCCTCCCTCTGCTTTGGCCGCACCTCTAGCCCTCCGCGCACACCGACCCAGAAGATACCTCTCCCTGGGTGAACTCCTACACAGCCCCTGAAGCCCTAGTTCCAAAGCCCCTTCCTCAAAAGAGCCTTCCTCCTTGGGATACCGGCCCCCCACCCGACCTCCAGTCTTTCCCTCTGCGCAGCCCTGACCACAGGATGCTGGGAGGACGGGGGCAGGATGGTGGGACGTGGGCAGACACGGGGGGCACTCACGGGCTCGCTCTTCTGCAGCACCGCCAGCACGAACAGGACGTAGCGGTGGCCGGGCTCCAAGCCCCTGTTGTCAAACCCGCCGTACTGCTTCTGGTCGCCGGGGTGGAAGGTGGGGGGCAGCATGGAGAAGCGAGCCGCGATGTAGGGGCGGGGCGCCTCCAGCTGGCGCGAGTGCCTCAGGCTGCGCCTCTGCAGCCGGGCGATATCCTGGATCAGCTGTGGGAATGGAGGCGTGGGGTGCTCAGAGGCTGGCCAGCAGCCCCAGGGCCTACGAGGGGCGGGGTGGGGTGGGCCTGGGCGCCCGCCTTACCTCCTCTAGATCCATGTCTTCCGGGCTGCCCAGCGGGGTCAGGAACTGGCCACCACGGGACTTGCGCAGCGGCACCATCACGATGAAGTAGTTCCTGTGGGGAGAAGAAGGGTCAGGGCACGTCCAAAGAACGCCTTCCGGAGGTGGGTGTGGGGGGTCCCGCTCTTGGAGTCTTCCTTGTGCTTCTACCCCCTACACCCCAGCCATACAGGACCGTAGTTCTGGACTCAAGCCTCCGGGCTTTCAGTACGTGTTCTTCTGGCTAGAAACTCTACCCCAGTTGTATTTCTTGAACTCCTACGCATCCTTCAAAGCCCCAGCTTCCATACCCACACATCCTCACAATCCTTGATTCTGTGTGTCCCAGGCAGGGTCCCCCTCACCCCTCCCTGGGGACTCTCAACCCTGGTGACTCTCGCTCTTACACCATGGGTCTGAAAGTATCCGTTTCTGCTTCTGTCTCCCTGTCGGTTGGGGAAACCAGAGCCAAAAGGAGACGGGACAGGTGGGGGACAATCAGGAACGTGGGAGGAGAAGACTGAAGGCCACACATGCTGGCAGGGCCCACGAGAAGCATCAGGGCACTGCACGGGCCAGGCTGACATGACCCACGTTTCACACACGGGTGAGGACATGGAAGCAGTGAGGTTGAATGGCCGGGCCCGGCCCCAGGCTGGCTAACAGGGTGGGAGGGGTCCCACGGGACAGGGCTGGTTTTGACCGTACTGGACGGGCACGGGGCTCTGGCCGTCGGGCAGATACACCAGGATGAAGCCGTCGGAGTCGGGCTTGGGGGCCACGCTGGGCTTGGCACTTAGCAGGTTGAAGGCGGTCCAGGCCGTGACCGTCTGCTGAAGGCCGCCCAGGCTGCTGCCTCGGTTGGTCAACACGAAGTTGTAGAAGGTGTTGGGCCTCAGGTGCGTGATGAGCTTCTTCGTGGTGCGGCCGTCCACGTCCAGTGTGAGCCCATTGTACTGGATCTGCGGGCCGAGACTGGCTCAGTGGGGCTCTGGGCCGAGCCCCTGATGCTGACTGAGCCGTGACCCCAGACCTGGCCTCAGCCCTGACTGGGCCATGACCCCAGACCTGGCCTCAGCCCTGCTGAGCCGTGACCCCAGACCTGGCTTCAACCTTGACTGAGCCACGACCCCAGACCTGGCTTTAGCCTGGCTGAGCCATGATCTCAGACTGGGCCTCAGCCCCACTGAGCCGTGACCTCAGACTGGGCCTCAGCCCCACTGAGCCATGATCCCAGCAGAGCCCCAACTTTAAGCCCAGTGTTGATTGAGCCCTAATCCTAGAATAAGCCTCAATCCTAGGTGAATTCCTAGCCATAGACAGATCCTTAATCCCAGCTGAGGTCCAGCTCTGACCAGGTCCCAATCCTGACTGACCCTTAATCCCAAAATAAGCCCCACTCCTAGATGGAGCCTTAATCTCAACTGAGTCCTAATCCTGACTGAACCCTGATCCCACATCAGACCTCAATCCCAGCTGACTCCCAACTCTGACCAAACCTTAATCCCAGACTGAGCCCCAATCCCAGGTTAAGTCTTGACCACAGATGGAGTCTCAATCCCAGCTGAGCCCTGATCTCAAGATGAGCCCCAACTCTGAGCCTCAATCCCTGCCAATGCCTGGTCCCACTCAGCCCTGGGTCCAGCTGATTCCCAACCCTGGCCAAGCCCCAACCCCTACCCTGGCCCGCCTGCTCCCTAGGGGAGGGCCGCACCTTGTAGGGTGTGGGTGAGTTGTAGTTGTCAGGAAATTCCCAGCTGAGCAGGACGGACGTCTTCATGATCATCTTCACCTTGAAGTTCTTGGGTGAGACTGTGCCGGGCAGCAGCCAAGCGGGAGAGAGCAGAAGAAAGGCCCCGTAAGCACTGGGGGTAGGGCAGGGCGGGCCAGTGGGGTGGGGTGGGGCGGCCCAGGCGCTCCCTGTCCTCCGCTGGGCCTGTGCCCATGGCCTTACTGCCTGGCCCTGCCTGGCCCTGTCCCAAGTCCCTGCTGGGGGAGACGGCGCGGCTGCAGAGAGAAGGCGGAGCAGGAGGGAGAGGGGAAGGGGAGGGGGGTTGGTGGGGGCGGCGGTGCCACCTAGGCACGTCCCACCTTTGCCAACGCCGGAGCCTCGGGGTCCGGACTCGCCTCGAGTGTCCACAAGGAAGCAGAAAAGTGACCACTTACCTGGGCGGGGGAGAGGGAGGGGGCTGGGGTGGGGGTGGGCACGAGGCCCGGTCCGGCTCTGGTGCGGGGGTCGCCGCGCGCCTACCTTGGTCCCGCAGGAACGTCCGGTAGCGGACGGGGGGGCTGTAGGGGCCAGGGCCCTGGCGCGTGTGGGCCCGCACTTGGAGGTCATAGGCCGTGTCGGGCTTGAGGCCCTGCAGCGTGAGCACGTTCTCGGCGCCCGGCTCGGCCGCCGCTGGCAGCTCGGTCTCTCGGGCGGGGCCCAGGGCTCCGGCCTCCCGCACGGCCACCGTGTACTTGACGATGGCCCCATTGCGCTCGGCGGGCACGGGCGGCAGCCAGCGTAGCAGGACGGTGCCAGCCGAGGCGTTGCCGGCCGCCTCGAGGATCTGCGGGTGGCCGCGGGGAGTGTCCTCGGGGATGCTCAGGACCTCAGCCGCCTCCTCGCCCAGGCCTCCTCGGCTCCGGGCCGCCAGCCGAAACACGTACGTGGCCCCCTTGTGCACACCCAAGGCTGTGTAGTGGTCCTCGGTGGGTGGGAACTCCAGCGTGGCCAGGGGCGAGTCCTCCCGGCCGAACTGCAGGCGGTAGCCCAGCACCTGGTCCTCGGCGGTGCTGGCTGGGGGCTCCCAGTGTGCCAGCAGGCTGCCCTCGGGGGTCTGCTGCACCGACAGGGTGGGGCGGCCCAGCACTGTGGGGACACGGGGCGGGCATCAGGACCACGGGGCCACCCGAGTCTGGAAGCCGGGGGTGGGGCTGCAATTTTTAAACGTGGGTCTCAGGAGGGTGGCACTCAGAAAGCAAAGCCTCAAGGGAAGTGGAGGGAGATCTGGGGGAAATGGTGTTCCAAGCAAGGGAACAGCCTGTGCGAAGGCCCTGGGGTGGCCTGGGCTGGGTGAGTGGAAGGAAGAGCAAGGAGGCCGGGGATTGAGAGACCCCGATGGAGGAAAATATCCGCAGTGTCAGAGCAGGCCCTCCTATGTCTACCTCTTGTTTTAGCTAATAAGTCAGCCATCTCTTGCCTCATTGATTTCCCTCTCCCTCCAGCCAGCACATGATTAATACCACGGGACACAGGAACGTCCAAAACCCTGCCCTTGCCCCACGGTTCTCACAGCCTGGGTAGCAATCAATGTGCCAAGGTCCTGGGAAGTCCTGCAGGAGGAGAAGCTCTACAAGTAAAACCAGGCTTCTCCTCCTGCAGGACTTATCAGGACCTTTCATGAACCGGGCTCTGAGCAGCCACGGCATACGTGGTAGGTCTGCCTGACAAGCCTGGCTGTGGGGCAATGTCGTGCCTGGGGGAAGAGGGAGAGATCAGGGGAGGCTTCCTGGAGGAGGTAACGAGGGTGCCGGAAACTGAAGGATATAGAGGCCAGGCAGACGGAGGGAACAGCGTGGATAAGGACTGGCAGGAGTGTGGGCAGGGGCCGCGTCCAGCTGGCCTGGAACATCGGGCCACGCAGGCTGAGGGAGGCCCCCCGGAAGGAAGGGTCGGAGGCCTCGGGGCCTGACATCCCTGAAACACATCGAGCTGCTCCCCGGGTTGTGCCATCTGCCCACAACACCTGCCCCTTGTGTTTTCGTGGCTGCCTCTCCCACCTCCGCCTTGCGTTTTTACCATGGGGTTAAAAAAAACAAAAACAGGGCAGCCCGGGTGGCTCGGCGGTTTAGCGCCGCTTTCAGCCTGGGGTGTGATCTTGGAGACCCGGGATCGAGTCCTCCATCGAGCTCCCTGCGTGGAGCCTGCTTCTCCCTCTGCCTGTGTCTCTGCCTCTCTCTCTCTCTCTCTCTCTCATGAATAAATAAAATATTTAAAAAAACAGAAACAAAAACCAATGGTCCCTTGGGATGGATGGAAGGGCCAGAAAGGGAAACTGAGGCAGGGCCGTGAGAAGTGGCTGCGCGGTGCAGTGGGGGAGCCAGGCATGCCACCTCCAAATGCTAAGCTGCCCAGGGTGATCAGAGCTGGGACCGGGGCGGGGCATGGGGTGCTGGGCGTGCCCAGGGGAGCCCCGGACGGAGACCGCGGGCTGCGGGCGGGGGGGGGGGAAGCCGGGCTGGGAGACCCGTGAGGAGGTGGTAGGGGGGCTGCTCTGCCTCTTGGGGCCCCCGCCGCCCTCTCCCCCTGCATGAGCTTAAGAACACAGTGTGGTGCTCTGGGGGCTGAGGGGTCGCGGCGGGAGGGTCTCATACCTGCTCCCTTGGTCACCACCACCTTGGGTTTGCTGCGAGCACCGTCGCCCTTCATGGTGTAGGCGGCTACCGTGATGGAGTAGGCGGTCTCGGGCTGCAGGTTTGTGATGACCATCTCCTGCGGGCAGGGCTGGGGGTCAGCGATGCAAGCGAAGGGAGACCGGCCCTGCCCACCCCCGTCCCCGAGGCTGGGGTCAAGCAAGACGGATGTGGGGCCTGGTGTGAGGGCAGAGGCGTGCGTCTGAGCTCATGCACAGACCCCAACACACAGCACGTCCATGCTAAGATGGGCACACGCAGCCTGACACCCCGTCATCTGCTCATCACCTCTCGGCCTCGGGGGGCCTCCCCGGCCCCCAGCGGCCACCAAAGGGCACCTGCAAGCACCTCACCCAGGCCCTGCCCTCTGCCTACAGCCCTCCAGGGCTCCCACCTCCCAGGGGCAGGGCAGGGGGGGAGCCCAAATCCTTCACTCTCCCCCTGGCTCGCTCGCTCCGCTCCAGCCACCGGGCACACTCCCAGCCTAGGGCCTCCGCTGCCCCCGCAGGTGAACCAGGGATTCCCTCTACCAGGCCACGAGGGCCAGGAGTTAGGGTCTCAGGAATTTTGCAAAAGCCAGTTTTAAACACAGCCGTTATCAGAAGGCAAATTCCATAAACGTGCTGACAAATAAATACTAAGGACGAGGGCAATAAATGCTCCAAAGCCACCGTCTCTCCTAATTGTTTCACCACATTTATTACTACGTCCGTGCTCTGGAGGTCATCCTGTCGCCTGTGTCTGAATGGAGAGCTGTGGGGTGACAACCTCCTGCACCCATTCCCACCACCCACGGAGCTCGAAATTGCCACGGTGGGAGTATTTATATCCCAGAAATGGGGAAAAGCTACACATCAGGTCTGCAACCCACCCTCCCAGCCCCCTAGGGAGCTCCTCGGGAAACCTTCACAGCACGGTCTATACCCACCCTGGCCAGAGCCGTAACTGGACACGTACAGTTGACCTTGGACAACGTGGGGCTTAGGAGCGCCGACCCCCGTGCCATCGAAAATCTGCATATACCTTGTGACTCCCCCCTAAACCCAATGCTGTGAGCCTCCCGTCGGCCAGAAGCCTTACGGAGGACGCAGTCGACTAACACATCTTTTGCCTGTTATGCATGTTACGTGTGTTAGGGACTGTATTTGGACAGTAAAGCAGCTCAGGGACGAGCAAGGAGCTCACGAGCAGGAAGCACGCCTACAGCACCGTCCGTGTTTAGTCAAAAAATCAATCGGCAGATAGGTGGGCCTCTGCGGTTCAAACCCGAGTCGTCCAAGGTCAAGTGTATCTGTGTCCTGTTCCCGTGAGCCGTCCTCTCCCGCACTGGCCTGCGACGGCCGGGACGGCGGGCTCAGTGGGGTGCGTCCCCACACTGCCTGGCTGGCACACGACCTACATACAGCAGGCGCCCGCCCGCCCGATGTTGGAGCCGCCCGACCTGCACACGTAGCTGCATCCGCCCTTGCCAAGTCACATGGGTGCCCATGTCCCCACGCATGCACACCCACAAACACGGTCCAGCATGCCTGGGGCTGGGGGGGATGGCTCTGGGGTCAGGAGCACGAGGAGGGGGACAGGGGGATGGAGAGGGTCTCCTGGCCCTGAGCCCCTGTGGGAACTCACGCCCCTCCGGCCTGGGGGTAGGGAAGAGGCAGGGCCTATGTGATGGGTGGGGCTGGTGTCGATGTAACATCAGGCTTTGGCTCTCAGAAGAGCCCGTGGGTCTGTCTGGGGCGGGAGCACAGCCTGAGGAGAGGCAGCAACGTGCCCGAAGTGCCACGTGGCCACGCCGACTGGCTCGGGGCCTCCGGAGAAAGCTGGGGGAGGGTGATGGGATGGGGCGGGGAGGATAAGGACAGTCCTGCAGGCCTCCTTCCCTGCCCCGGGCCTGCTGACCCTCTCCCCACTCGAGGGCTGCAGTGAAGGGGATGCTTTAGCCAGAGAGAGAAATTTCGAGGCCAGAGAAGGCTGAGCTGGGTTTGAAAGTGGCCCAACTGCAACCTGGGCCCAGGGGGGAGACTGGGGTGTAGGGGCAGGGCGGGAGGGCAGGAGAAGCTAGAGCAGAGGCGTGGGGTGGAAACCACGGCTGGGGGCTGGGGGCTGGGCGGGACGAGCCTGGTGGGTCTGGGGGCCGCCGGGGTAGGAGGGCTGATGCATAACCTCTGAGGCCAGGACCCCGGCAGGGCTCCTACGTCCGCGTGCCTGACTGGAGACCGAGAGGTGACCGGCAGGCATCTGGGGCCCAGGGGAGGAGACCCTCTTACAAGGGCGTGCAGGGGAGGGGTGTGGGGGTATCACATCACTGCGCGGCCCGCGGGACAGCACTGCAATGGCCGGGCAGGGGTGCTACTTACGTATTCGGCTGTGTCGTCCGTCTCCCACTGAGCGTGGGAGGAGGCGGCAGGGGAGAGAGGAGGAGGTGAGCAGGTGGCCCGAGAGGGGCAGAGAAGCAGGGAGAAGGCGGCGGGGGTCGGGGAGCCCGCCCGCCCCCCAGAGCCCCGGCCCGCCCCGCCCCGGCACCCCGCCCACCTGGGCGTCGGCCAGCATGATGTCCTTGATGCGCGGCGGCCCGCGGGCCTCGGCGCCCTCCATGCGGACGTAGTGGACCTGGTAGCCGCGGATCTGGCCGTGCTGCCGGCCGGGCGCAGGCGAGCGCCACAGCACGCGGATGGCCGTGGCGTTGAGCGCCTCCGCCTCCACCTTCCGCGGCGGCGCGCTGGGCACTGGCGGGGTCAGGGGAGGGGCGGGCAGGGCCGTTACTGGGGCGCCTGGCCCTGCCCCCGGGCAGCACCGCTGCCCGATGCCAGGGTGCCAAGCGGCTGCCGGGTAACTGGGCGGTCTGAGCGCTCACCGCCAGCTGGGAGGACAGGCCTCCTTCCCGGATCCCACAGCCCCACAGGGGGGCGGGGGGGTGCCCAGTGCTGGACGCCACATACAGATGGGCAACTAAGGCCCCCCCAGAGCCTAAGACACCCGCCCAGGGCCACACAACAGGAGTGGGCCCTGCTCGCCCCGCTCCACGGGCGTTACCCACCTGCCTCCATCCTAACAGCACCCCTTCCAGGCAGGGGCTCTCGCTCCCACTTTACAGATGGGGGAACGGGGCCCCCTGAGCATTGGGCCCTTGACCGCAGGGTCAGGTAGAAACAAAGCCCAGGTCTGAACCCAGGCAGCCCAGCTGTGTGCCCCAATGCGTTCCAGGACGCAGCCAGCCCCCCGGACCACACCCCTAAGGTCTGGCACCAACAACCGCTTCTCTTCGTCCCTCTTCCCTCCTAGTGTGGGGGCTGCCGCCGAGCCTCTCCGGCCTGGGCTCTCGAGAGGCAGGCCGGGTTCCCGACGCCACGGACCTGCGCTTTTATGGGACAAGCTGCTTGCATTTTCCCCCCTGTAGCCCAGTTTCTGCCAACGGACTCCAGACCAGAGCCTCACCTCCCTCTGCAGCTCAAAACTTTCTAGCTGGAAGTCAGCCACAGCCACACCGGGGGTGTTTACACCACAGAAGCTGGCCATGGCTGCGGATAGGTCTCCGCGCCCCAGAGCTGGTTGTTAACACCACCGGCGCGCCGCAGCCTACTCGCCAGATAGGATGGCTCAGCCCTGAGCTGCAGGTCCTGGCTTCCCCTGCCTTATCCTAAGAATCTAAAAGCTACGCTTCTGGGGGTCAAGGACCATTAAGTTTGGTGCAAGTGCTGCGGCCCGTTCCCCACACTGTTTCCATACTTTCCACCATCGGACCCAAAAATACAGGGCTGCCAGCTGAACCTCCCAGGCACAGGGCTGGGGAGGAAATACGGCCCGGAAGGTCTAGGATGGAGAATTCCAGGATCAAGGAGCCCGGGATTCCTCGGGGAGGCCGCCTGCTTCACGTCTGCCCCTCAAGACTGCGGCTTCTACCTCTTGACCACCGGCCAGCCCAGTTTTGCAGAAGGTGCCGAGGCGCGGGGCGGGCTGGGGCCTGCGGGGTCCCCGGCAGGGCCCGGTGCTTACCGTCCTCGTCGGTGCGGATGACCACGGGCGAGCTCTCGGGCCCTGGTCCCACCTCTGTGTGAGCGACAGTCGTGATGCGGTACTCGGTCCACTTGTCCAAGGCCTCCAGCAGGATCTGGGTGGTGGTCGGGGGGATGCCGTTCACCTCCTTGGGTTGCGGATCGTCCGAGCCCAGCGGTCGGTAGCGGACGCTATAGCTCACCAGGGCCCCGTTGTGCGTTTCCGGCGGCGGTGGGCGCCAACTTACCAAAATGGCCGTGGAGCGCGTGCTGACACATTTAACGTCTTGAGGGGGGGCTGACGGTTCTATTGGGGGGGGAGAACGTGGGGGCGGGGAGGGGAGGCGGGATGGGCGGGGAGGGGGGCGGGGAAACAAAAGATGGGAAAGAGAAAATAAAACAGAAGATGATAACAAACAAAACAGAACCAAACCAAAGAGAAGTCGAACCCAAAAGAAGCGGGTGTCAACCAAAGGTGAGATGGACGGGTGGGGATGGGGCCGGGAGGGCTGGCCAAGAACACTGCGCTCAGCGCCCGGGGGAGGTCCTGGGGGCGGGCCGCCCCAGTCCCCGGGAGGTGCGCACGCATGGACGCGCGTGGGGAGCGGAGGTAACATCCCCACTCGGGAGGCACCTATCGTGCACTAGGCCCCGGCGCCAGGGGCGTCACGGAATAACACAAAAAGCGTCTATTTAATGAACCCCTGCGATGTGCCAGGCAGCAGGCCACGGGCTTCAGACTATACTTAGTCACTGAACACCTACTGTGTGCCGGCCCTGGCACCAAGGACGGAAGCAAACTAAAATACTTCTTGAATGAACACCCACTGGGCGCCGGGCGCAGCACAGGGATAGACCAACGGTAAACACGCTAATTGGCCGAGCGTTTCCTGTGTGCCGGGCACCACGCCAGGTGATTGTGATAAAAGCCCCACTATATCAGGCACCTACTGTGTGCTTCGGCACAGCGCTAAGCCTTCTAGGGTAACAGTAAATGGGGTGCCAGGAGAGCAGCACTGCCAGGGTAAAAGCAGCAAAAGCCCCATTTACTGGGCACCTACTGTATGCTAGGCACAGAGGAAGAGCTTCACAGGTTAACAACAGAAGCATCTGTGTACCGGGCACCTGGGTTCTATCAGGGGCCCCAGAGGCCACCCCAGGGCTTACTTCAACTAGGACCACCCTTTTGGCCTCACGTGGGAGACAAAATAATGCACATGTCTTGAGCACCTACTGTTGGCCAGTTAGCAGGCTGAGGGCTTTAAAGAATAATACCAGCGCCTGTTAACTGGACACTTGCTGTGCTGCTACCAGCCTCAGGGATTTAGAGATAGTACAGCCCCGATTAGCAACTACTGTGTGCCAAGGTCTTTACAGATCGTAGTTCTTCTGGCACCACAGTAAGTCCACCACAGAACAATGGCAAGTCTTACTGAGCACCTACTATGCGCTGGGCATCGTAATAGCCCTCTACTGGTAAACACGGCAGTTCTCATTTACATGAAACCTACTGCAGGCCAGGCAGTGTGGTAAGGACTTTTTTTTTTAAAAAACAGGTCCACATAAAAAGGACCTACTATGTGCCAGGCCCTGTGCGAGGGGCCTTACTGAAAAAACAGCAACAGAGCCCCACCTACTAAACATTATGTGTTAGGCACCGTGCTAAGGGCCTTGTAGAACATAGTTCTCGCTTTTTTAAGCACCTACTGCGTGCCGAATGCTGTGCTAAGGGCTTTATAAATAAATGGTAATAGTTTTTACTCTTGAGCACCTACTGTTTGTGCATCCAGTTGCCAAAGGCTTTACAGAGGACAACCTCACGTTCTGAGCAAAACCTGTGTAGCCAAGACCATGCTAGGCCCTGTCAGACTCACAATGGCTCCGACCTGAGCGCCTACTATGTGCCTAGAGCCAGGTCAACCTCCTTAAAGAAAGTGCCACTTATCGAGCACTTGCTGTATGACAGCCATTATGTCAAGGGCTTCTCGGAACAATAATCTTAGCCCCCATGTTTGGGGGCACCTACCGTGCACCGGGCACCAGGGAAAGCTTGTTAAAAATGACTAACAGCTTCCATTCGTTGGGTGCCAATTCTGTGCCAATCTGTGCTTAGATTTAAAAGAGCATTTATGAAACACCTGTGGTATGCCAGGCAGTGTGCTAAGGGCTCTGTTAAATAACATTAAGTCCCCATCTGCTCAGTACCTACTATGAGACTGTATTAAGGCCATCACCAGCAATAAACCTCACAGTCTATGCATCGCCTCTTCTGCACACCCCATACCCTACGCCCTTTACGCTCAAAATGTGTCCCCCAATTATACCTCATTTAATTCTCAGGACACATAAGTGGCTGGAGCTATCACCCCTCCAGCCTCCTTCCACGTTACAGGTGGGAAAATCAATTTCAAAGTCCACCTGCCTGGTTTTCTATGATCACCAGTTGTGTACCTACTGGCTGCCAGACCCCACCTAAGCTTTTCGTGTATCACCTCCCACCTCACAGATGAAGAAACTAAGGCCGGAAAAAGCAAGCTGTCTTCCCAAGGGCATGTGGTGAGAGCCAGGTATTTGAACCCAGGCTCGGCTGTTGTGGAGGGGCTGCCTTGATTGTGGATGAGGACTCAGACCTCAGCCTCAGGCAAGTTGACGATGGCTGGAGCCACACTACTTCAACTGCCCTTAGCTCCAGAATTCTCCTTGCCTGCGGGGAAGCCCAGAGAGGCCACTGGCTTTGCCTCACGTCAAGGTACATACAACCCTCACCATGATGGCAGCCCCATTTGTGTTTAGAGAGTACTCGTTACATGCACACCCCAAGGCAGGGGCATCCAGAGATGAATCAGAGGCTCCTGTCCTCAAAGACATCAGGCTACAAGACAGCCCAGAGGCCTCTCTGATGGCTTATTTCAACTAGAATGACCCTCTGGCCTCACTTAAAGTGAAATGCCGGAGTCCCCTCCTCGATATGAGATACTTGGGGCCCTCTCCCCCATTTCTTGACCAGCCACCCCAACCAAAAGTGCCTGGGGGAATCAGGTAGGAGTGGAAAAAAAAAACAAAACAAAACCAACCAAAGAATGTGCCGGAAGGAATGGATTCACTGAGAAAGGGGGAGGAAAAATAAAATCAAAACCATAATAAAATAAGAAACAACGGTGATGGTGATGATGATGAGAAAAACCATAATAAAAGAAAGAAAGACGCCTTCCAGAAAACTCCCAGTCTGGTTACCTACCTTCCACTCTTCAACTGCTAACTTATAAGACTTTCTTACGAGGGAGGGATTGGCGGAGTGCTGAGCTACAAGGCCAGACCGAGCTCTGGGTGGGTCTCCGGACGCAAGCGGGCCCAAGCCCTGCTCTGGCCCCCAGTGTGGGCACGCTGCAGTTCCGGACTGGCGCCGACGAGGCGGGAAGGTGAGACGGTGTGGGGAGACCCACGGCTGAGTGGTCTGGCCTCCACCTACCCTTGAGTTCAGCCTAAGAAGCCCGCAGTCCCCAGGGGGATATGCCTGGCCCTGAGTCTTGCTGCCAGTTCTCTCGGGCCCCACCCGTCTCGGGGTGAGAAGTGGGGAGTCCCTTCTCTCCCACTCCCTGTCCTGGGCCGCCCCGGAGGTTCGCGTGTGGCTGGGCCAAAGCCGCTTTGTTGACGACCACGGAGGCCGCCTCCTTCACAATCCGGCCCAACCTGCGTGGTATCTTCAGGGGTGGGGGAGACGGTGTGATGGCCCCACGGACAAGCACGGGTGGCAGGGAGCTCCAGATTCCCCATTCCTGACCAGATGTGGCTCCTGGCCGTGGGGTGGAGAGTTCTGGGGGCTAAATTTGGGCTCTGGACTCTGTGCAGCCCAGAGCTGCCGGAGCCCAGGCTGGGGGGGCACGCAGGGTGGGCCGTGTTTGTGAACCTGCTTGAGACCAGCGCGTACTCACCTTCGCGGCACCTGTGCCAGTCTCTCACGTGGCCGCCCAAGCCACAGGACACCCTCACTGATCGCGTCGCACACAAACATGCCCAGATGCCTGTGAGCTGCAGAGCTCTCGGCTCGGCACGGGGTGGGGGTGGGTGGGGGGAGTGGGGAGGGCAGGAGGGGGCTGGGGGGGAGGTGGTGGCAGGGCTGCCGTGTCTCCGAGGCCCCTGACCCCAGCGGCTTAGACACCCAGGCCCAAGCTTCCGTCTCTCGCGACTGACCCGTGCCGCCCTGTGTGCGCACACCCAGGGGGACGTGAAGGTCTGAACACCGAGGCTGCTTCCAGAACAAGGCCTGGGGTGGTGCGGGTGACTGACTGGGTAGGGGAGAGGGGGAAGGGGCCACGGCAGGCTAGGCTGAGCGCAGAAGAGGGGCAGAGGGAGGAGGGGAGGCAGGGAGACTGCGGGATCAGGGCCCTGCCTAGGCCCTGAGCTCAGAGCAGGCAAGGGGGGGGCAGCGGTAGGGGCCACACGGTGGCCCAGAGGCAGCTGTCGGCTGCGGTGTTCTGGCCACAGGGTGACTCGTCTGCGACAGGGAGGCAGGGCGGGCACGGCAAAGACTCCAGGGATGCAAGAGCCTTGTCCTGGGGCCTGCCCCTGGCAATGGGGACCCTGTCTGGGGGGGGCGGGCAGGGCCATCTGGGGAGGCACTGATCTCTATGCACTGTGCTCCCTGGGAACGAGCCTCCCACAGCCCTCCAACGCCTGTGGGTGCACAGCAAGGCCGCCCGCAAGCCCCAGATTCAGGCCGGACCCGGAAGAGGGAGAAGGTGCAGATGACACCCGTCCCCGCCCTAGGGGGGAACCTCGTCCCCCCAGGGCTCCAGGCCCAGGGGCCCGCGGGGAAGCGGGGCTTGCGGGAACCCCCAGCGCCGCGGGTGGGCTCATCCGCCCGGGGCCAGGCGCCCCCCACCCGCTGCGGAGGCTCGGCCGGTCCGCGAGCGCCGGGGCCCCCCCGCGGGGAAGGGCGGGGTCCACGAGACACCTACTGGACTGCAGTGTGCGCTGCCGCACCACCGAGGTGAAGGCGCCCAGGCCCTGCGAGGAGCGCGCCGCCAGGCGGAAGGCGTACTCCGTGTTGGGCTTGAGGTCGTCCACCACGAACGCCGTGGCCGGGTCGAAGGTCCTCCCCACCTGGGGACGGGGGTGGGGTGGGGTGGGGCGGGGGGGGGGGGGTGACGGGAGACCCAGGGAGCCAGAGGGCAGAGACACAGAGATTGTGAGAGACACACACAAGAGAGGAGAACGGACAGAGACAGCGAGGGACCGGGACAGAGATGCAGGAAGGGGGGGGTAAGAGAGGGAGAGGAGGAGGGGGGAGAGGAGGGGGGAGAGGGGGTAGGGGGGAGAGGGGAACAGGGGAAGAGGGGGTAGGGGGGAGAGGGGGAAGCATCCGCGATGATGGGGGGGTGGAGGTGGGGGGATGCGGGGTGGGGGGGGGTCACGAGAGACACCCAGGCACCCGGTCAGCAGGACTCTAGGGCTCGCCTCCCCACCCCCAGCACCCCGCCCCCATAGGCTCTGCCCCACTACCACGCCACGCCCCCATACAGGCCCCGCCCCTCCGTGTCCCCCAGCACCACGCCCCGCCCCCGCAGGCCCCGCCCCCAGCACTCTGCCCCCTGCAGGCCCCGCCCCTCCATGTCCCCCAGCACCCCGCCCCGTCCCCGCAGGCCCCGCCCCTCCATGTCCCCCAGCACCACGCCCCGCCCCCTGCAGGCCCCACCCCTCCATGCCCCCCAGCACCACACTCCGCCCCCGCAGGCCCCACCCCACTGCCATGCCCCGCCCCCACAGGCCCCGCCCCTCCCCACCCCCACCCCCAGTACCACGCCCCCCCCGGCCCCAGTACCTCTCGGCCGTGGTCGCCCTCCCGGAACAGGAGCTCGTACTTGATGATGCTCTCCTGCCGCGAGGGGCTCCACGAGAGCCCGATGCTCGTCTCGGACTTGGCCTCGGCCCTGAAGTTCATGGGCTGGCCAGGCACTGCGGGGAGGGCACAAGAGGGGAAATGGGGGTGGCCGGGGAGGGGTCCACACCACCTGAGGTGCCCAACCCACTGGGTGGCCCCCGTTCTCCCAAAGAGAGCCCCATGAAGCTCAGCTCTGCCCCGGAGGAAAGGCTGCCCGCTCCCGGACGCTCCTCCTGGAATGTTCTCCACCCTTCTTATTTCTCTTATCTTCCCCAGGGGGGACCCCTACCAGCACCCCATTGTCAGGGGCCCACCTCAATTCCCCCACCCTCTCTGATTCCCCTAAATCAAATGCCGGAGATTGTGGGGGTGATGTTTCCAACCATGGATTCCCCATCCTGTATGTGCTCTGTGGCAGCAGGGGACCAACCCCTCTGTCCCTTCTCTCGGGCCACAGCGGTCTTGGATTTGAGGCTCTGAAGGCTGAGCCCGTCCAGAAACCCACAGAGAGCTGGGGCCCCACATGCCTGAACGGCCCACCCCCACCCTGCCCCTTGACCTGAGCGGCCAGGAGGCCAGCCCGCTGCCTTTGGGCAGATACGCTTTCCCTTTATAATTTCAAAGCAGGTGGCAGCAATCTCTCCGACGAGAAGGGAGAGCAGGGGATCTCAAACTCAGACACAGCCGCTGGGATCTGTCTGGATGTCCAATCATAGCCCTGCCGGCTTGCCAAATTGAATCTCCCAAGAGAAGAGAGAAATGTGGGTTTTCTGGGACAACTTCCTGCTTTGAAACGCTAGCACGAAAATATTTTAAAGCACCACGCAGGATGAATAAACCACTTTGTGGCTTCCAGGCAAGATCAGCCAGCTGTACGCTCCGAGATCCACGACTGCCCCCCCCCCCACTGCCTCCTCCTGTTTCAGTGGCCCCGAATCCTGCCGTCCCCACCGAAGCTGCACCTCCCACGGGCATCTCACCTCCCTGCTGCGTCTTGACCTGGATGGGGTCCGAGAGGGGCCCGTCGCCCACGGAGGTGAAGGCCAGCACGCGCACGGTGTACGTCTCGTCCTCCAGCAGGCTGCCCACGGTGGTCAGCAGGCTGTCATCCACGTTGTGCTTCTGCCAGTTGCCCACGGGGTGCTCGGGTTCCATGGTGTAGTAGATGCGGTAGCCCCGGATCAGGCCGTTGGGCTCCACGGGCTCCTCCCACTGGATGATCATGGTGGTGGCGCTGAGCATGCGGGCCTGCACGTTACGTGGGGCGCTAGCTGGGGCCTGCTCGCCTGTGCGGGTGACCACTGACTCACTGGGGGGCCCCTGGCCGATGGAGTTGACAGCGGACACCCAGATCTCATACTCCGAGTTGGGGCTCAGGCCACCGATGCTGTAACGTGTCGTGGTGATGTCCTCTTTGATCTGGTACGGCCCGTCCTGGCTCTTGGATTTGTATTCGATGACGTAGTAGGACACAGGGTCTGGGTTGCCTGAGTCCCACGTGATGGTGATGCTGGTGGCTGTGTTCTCTGTCACCACGGGAGTGCCCGGGGCTTTGGGGAGAGCTGTGGGTGGGAGGCACAGTGACACATCAGGCACGCTGGCTGCAGACCCCAAAGGCTGCAGGACTCTCAGCCATGCAATTGCCCTAATGACCCCCGTCCCATCATCTAGAGCAGGGTCCGGCAAGCTATGGTCTGAAGACCAGCACCTGTTTTTATAAATGAAGTTTTATTGGAACGTAATCGTGCCTACGTAGAGCAGATGGCTGCTTCTGCACTACAGGGGCAGAGCCGGGGTGGGAGGGTGCTGCAGGAGACTAGATGGCCCGTATAGCTGAAAATACTGACTTAAAGAAAAAAATAAATGTGTTCTTTAAGAAAAATATTGACTCTTGAGTTGTTGGTGCCCCTGGTCTGTTCCTCTCTCTGTGGTTTACTCTGCTCAGCCACGCTGTCTGCTCCCACGTCACACCTGCTGTGCCCCATACCTGAAATGCTCTATCCCCCCACATGGCCAGCTCCTCCTCATTCCTTAAAGCCTCCACACCACCCTGGCTAGCGGCACCCTTGCCTGGCTCTTAGCAGGGACCTGGGTTTTGTTCACAGCTGTGTCCCCGGCACGTGGATAACCGTGACTTTCTCTCCTACTTGTCCCAAGTCTTCAAGTCACAGAGGCCCCAGGAGAAGTTCAATCCCTCAGCAAAATGACCAACCAACCAGCTGATGCTGACACCTTCTAGGGCCCTAGGACAAGGCAAACTCTGTGGGCAATGGGCCACACGGTTAACTATTTTCAGCTTTGTAGGCCAGGGAGTCTTTGTTGGGACTACTCAGCTCTGCTCCTGGAGCCCTGGAGCCCCAAAGCTGCTACAGACAAGGCATGGATGAATGAGTGTGGCTGTGTGCCAATAAAACTATTTGTGAGAACAAGTGGAGGGCCAGATGCAGCCTGCAGGTGGTAGTTTGCCGGCCCCTGTTCTAAAGCTAGAAAAGTCTTTGGGGGCACCTTGGAAATCTCACCACAAACTTGAGACGCCAGGAGAATCGTAGTCCCCTGTTCCCGGCCCCATCTCTGAGTCTGCTGCACAGGCTGTTTCCTTCCCTTAGAAATGTTCTCCACCTTCTCTGGCGCGTTCTCTGACCTAACTTTCCTGGGAGCTGAGACCTTTGCTCTGGGGGGTCTGAACAGCGCCACATGGTCCCCGTCACCATCCCCATCAGGCTGTATCACAGCTGCCTGGCTACCTTGTCTCTCACGCCGGACTCTCCCTTCAGCAGAACAAGGCCATGTCGCCCTCCACAGGGCCAGGCCCAGGATAACGTGTAACCCATAAATACCTGTTCATAAACCAGTGTCCCCTTCCCAGCCATGAATGACCAAAGCCAGAATGGCAGAGCTTTTCCACCTGTAACCCTCCCAACCTGGGCCCGGGGTCAAGAGGTGACCTGCCTTCCTGGGCCCCATGGGTCCCGCTTACATTTCACTGTGATCTGGGCCACGGCCTCGATGACGCCCAGGCTGGACATGGCCACACACGTGTAGTTGGCGGAGTCCTTGACATCTGTGAGTTCCAGCACATTCCGACCCACGGGCATGTCGTCTTCAGGCGTCAGGTCTTCGGCCCCCTGCATCCACTTGACATATGGCATGGGTGAGCCCACGGCCACGCAGGTAATGTTCACGTTGCCACCTGGCATGATCTCGTGGCTCATGGGCAAGATGGAGAATCGCGGAGCCACGCGGCGGACTGGGGGTGGGCGGCGGTGGGTGGGGTTGGGGGGAGGGAGGGTGCAGGGTGGGAGTGGGGTGGGGAGACGGGATGCAGAGGGGAAAAGAAAGAAAAGCAGGAAGAAAGAAAGAAAGAAAGAAGGAAGGAAAGAAAGAAAGAAAAAAAGGAAAAAAAAAGTGGAAAACAATTTAAATATAAACAGGGCTGTTTCTTTCCCCCCAAGCTGAAATTTTTTTTTCTTCCAAATGAAAAGAAAACAAAAAAACCAAATTAAAAAATCAAATTTCAACACAAAGAAACCAAAACTTCAAAGGAAGGTACTTCACAAACAATATATAGAGAGATATATCGATATATAATAAAAAGAGACATGAAGCATTATTTCATAGCAACAGGGTTTCAGAGACCAGAGTGGCTGGTCACAGCACAGTTACGAACACAAAAATTTATCAGCTGTTTCTCATCTTTGCTGACAGACGTGGCTTCGGGGAGCAGCCCCTCCGCCCGCTCTCCTAAGTGGGGAGCGTCGGAAGATTCTGGCTGCAGGTGTCGGGGCTGCAGGTTGGGGGGACGGGGGCCCCTGGGGGAAGTTGGACCTGGGAGCTGGGAGGTCACAGAGGCCAGCGGCGCCAGGAGGCAGAGGGGGCCGGGACCTCGGCCCCCTGACCCTTGTCCCTGCCGGTGACTCGGGGGCCCTGCCCACTTCCCGGGGAGAGGGGGGCCCTCAGGGAAAAGATGAGAAACTCTAATGAAATTTTTGTGGTTTTTGGGTTTAGAAACCCTTCTAAAAGCTTCTGTCGGGTCTGACAAGTTTCCATTGATAGATGCAGCTCTCAGAATCACAAACAGCATGCAAAATAGGTTGGTTGAGTGAGAGAGAGAGAGAGAGAGAGAGAGAGAGAGAGAGAGAGGCAGAAGGAGGGACAGAGAGAGAGGTAATGCAAGGGAAGAGGCCTGGGTTTCAGGGGCCTTCGGTGCACACTCATGGGTGCCGGAGAAGAGAGAGAGCGAGAGCGAGAGCAAGAGAGTGAGAGCGAGAGAGAGAGCGGAGCCACGGGAGAGAGAGAGCGGGAAGACAGGCCCAGAGAGAGGGAGGCAGAGACAGAGAAGGAGGGAGGAGGGGGCCCACTTCAATGCTGCATATTAACTCTAGCGGATGTGACCCAATGTGACATGTCACATTGTCACATCACAACCCTAGCAGAATCATAAATAGGATATTAATAATTAATAATAATAATAATAATAATAATAATAATAATAATAAAACGAGGGAATGAGCTGGAACGTTGAGAAAACAGGGACATGTTCTGTGCGTTTCTCAGCGGGGAAGCGGGTGCAGCCTTCTGTTCCAACCTCGCAGACCGTGAAGGCAGCAGGATGCATTTCGGGGGCTCCATTTTCGGAAGCTGGACAGGTTTTGGGCCTGGGGGGGGGTGCTAATGGGCACCTGAACTTCCAAAAGGCGTGGCTGCGCCACGGGAGGTGTTCAACTGCAGTGGGAGGGACCTGCGTTGACCTGGTAGGTAGAGAGATCCTTCTAAGCCAGAAAGAGGTTGCCCCTGGCTGAGAGCTTGGGGTCTCAAAAGCCCCCCCTGCCCGTGCATGGGAGGGTCCTCAGCTTTCGGTGGGTCAGAGTCTTGTCTGCAACTACCGAGATGACAGACCTGGAAGTCGAGGGTCAACGGAGCCACGAAACGCCTTTGGGCACCCTGACCTGCCTCTGACTGCGCACTGCTGGTAGGGGGTGGCCGTCGGGGTTGTGACTCGCCTTACGGAGGAGGGGGCTCCAGGGGCCAGAGGGCAGCAGCCCGGTTCCCGCTCTTGCAGCCCCGCTCCTAAGCTGGAAATCCCCACCCTTCCTTGCTCCCTGAACCCGCGGAGGGATGGAGGCAGAGAGGAGAGGGCAGCTCTGTGGGGCGGGGGGAGGCAGGGCAAGGAAGCGGCAGCCCTTCGGAAAAGGAAGCCCCACGAAAAGTCCAGTGTCACGTTGGAGACGGGATGGAAGGAGTGAAAGGTGTCGCTGGAGGGGAGGAGTGGGAGAGGGGGAGACAGAGGGGCCATGCAGACTGGGGGTGAGGGGCGGGGCAGGGCGCTGAGATGGGGGGTGGCTTTCTGGCAGGGCTGGGTGGAGGGTGGGGGGAGTCGGGGGAGAATGGGATCTGGCCAGCCAGCGGACGCGGTCCAGGCCAGCCGCCGGCATCCACAGCGAGGCACGAGTGGGATGCCCGACGCTGCGTTGTCATGGAAACAGAACACGATGGGGGATGAGCGTGGGGGAGCTAATTAATCAAGGAGAGAAAACGGCCTCGACGTCCAAAACAAAACCAGGAGGAACAAATGAAAACACAAAGTGGAAAAAAAAGAAAAATCCACAAAAAAACCCAACCAAACAAAAAAAATCCCCTCTGAAACAAAACAGAACACCCAAAAGCAGAAGAAGGAGAAAAAAAAAAATACCAAAAACAAAAGCCAAAAAGAAAAAACAAAAAACCAAAAAGACATGGAATGTGTGGGGCTGAAAATCGGGGTCTGAAAGGGAGGAGGGCTGTGACTTCCCCAGGGAGGTACTCCCCCCACCCCCAGCAGAACACAGGGTCTGGCCTCCCTGCCCAGCACCCAAGAGCCCCAGCGGCGGGTTTGAGGTGGCCACAGAGGTGAGAGCCTCACAGAGGAAGAGCCCTCGGGGCAAACCAGCCCAGCCCCACTTCTCAGGGATGCCCTGCCCTGCCCTGCCCCTGGCTGAGGGCTCGTCACAGACACGCTGATCACGCTGGCAGGGCAATTCCTCACGACCTCACCAGTCTCACACAAAACCTCTCCAGGCTGAGACGGGAGATCCTTCACTTGCCTCGATTTCTCATCTATGAAATGGGGGTAACTGGGGACCTGCTCAGAAGGTATCACGTTGACTGAGGCAGTGCCCAGCACGCAGAAGGTACTCAGCCTGGGCATGGGGCCAGGGACGTCTCCTCCTGGCCTTCCAGGGTGGGCACGCGGGTGCATGGAGATCAACTCGATTCTCTACCTTATGGGAGTTTGGGATGAATTAAAGAGGAAACAGAATTTCTGTAGAATCCCCATGTCACTTTATTCCTTCCAACTTTGTGTGGCAAATATCTGTACGGCCCATTTTGTGGATGAAGGAAGAGAGGCTCAGAGAAGCGGTGGGGCCAGAGCTCAAAGCCAGGACTGCCTGGGCTCTACCTCTCAGATAAAGCGAGCCTTCTCCCGCCTTGGCAAGTAGCAAGAATCACGGCCAGGTGTCGCTTCTTGGCACCGGGTTCTTTCAGACCCACGTGTCTTTAGGTTCTGGGGACAGCAGAGAGGGCAAAAGTATCCCACCAACCGTACAATAACCAGGGACCACCGGCTGAATACTATCCAGCGATCATAACAAATGTCCAGAAGCCACGAGAGTAAGACACCCACACAGAGAGGGATTATCGGAATATCAAAGGGGGTAAGGGCCAGCTTTACGATTTAAAAGTTAAATATGAGCCATGTTTATCTGTGTGTAAGGCTCAACATCTTGCCCCAGAGACCCCGTTCACATCGGAACTTATCTTAAAATATCTCTGCCCACGTTGGGGGAGACTTTGGAAGACACCTCCAACCTTTTTCAGGAGCAGGGACAAGCATATATCTTGAATATGTAAAAGCCCTGCCGCCTAGGGCTGTTGACCAGAAGTCAGTTAGATGTGCAAGGGCGTTTATCAACAATAGTAATTCTCGTGCTCACGATCCCAAGCATGGCCAGCAGCCATCAGTTAAATGGGCTTGCCAATGCTCTGTAAAAGCTGACAGCTGAGAAACTTTGCCTACCTGCTTTCTCATTCACCTCATCTGCTTCTGAGGGTGTGCTGTAGGAAGAGGGCTGGTTTGCCACGAGCTTGGGGGTGGGGATCGTGCCCATTGGCGCCAGGTGGGCTCAGAATACCCCCTGGCGGGGGGGGGGGGGAGTGGGTCTCACGAGGCCTCTGGGCAACCTCCCAGCCAGCAAGGGCGGGCGGCTGACGCTGTGTTCTGCCCAATATGGTGCTGACGCCCACCCACGACATCTTTCCACCCCTGGCTGAAAGCTTGAGGTGCGGGTTAGGAAGTAAGGTGGGCGCAGAGCCCACAGGATGGAGTGGCCCCGCGGGACCCCCGCCCCCAATTACCGACCTGAATGGAGGGTCCAGGCAGGTTATAAGGGGACCACACCAGCCTTGGTCCTCAGCACGCTCCAGCTGGCTCTCGTTTCCAGCTCTTCTCGTCACCGAGTAGCGGGGGTCCCAGCGGGGGGGACCCGCATGGGTGAGGGGGGTCAGGAGGGTGGGCGGTGGGGGGGGTGGCAGGTTGGGGGGGGTGGGTCGCTTCAAACCCCGATTCACATGGAAAAACAACTCAAAAACCGTCAAAGCAACCGGGAGACGACCCCTCCCCCAGGCAGGAAGAGGCAGAAAGTCAAAAACTAAAAGGGGGGTGGGGTTCGGGGGAGAAAGGGTGGGGAGGGGGTGAGGGGTGAGGGAAAACTCAAAAGTGAGGTGATCTGGTTGGAAGCACTAGGTTAGGGAACAGTGTCAGACATCTCAACGATTCGGCAAGCCGCAGCTCCAAGGGGTGGGGGGGTGGGGGGAGCGCTGCCTGGCATTTTGGGGTAAGAGAAGCTGCTGGGTGCTCCTCCAGACTCCAAAATGAGGATGCGGGTGGGGAGGGTGGGGGAGAGATGCCAACAAGTTCTGCAGCCCCCACGGGCTCACTGAAGCTTAGATTACACCTGTCCTGGGAAGGGAGGGGGGTCCGAGCCTGATCCTCACCCCCTCCGTTGAACCCCAGCCTGTGGCCCAGGGAGTGGGGGGGGCACCACCCCACGGCCTGCCTTGGGCATCTTCCTGCTCCTGTCCCCCATCCTGCCTCCTCCTCCCTCCCACTGCCAGCTCCCTCCGCCATCAAGATAGCGTGCAAGGCCTGGAGGGACCTGGCCGGATGCCCCCCGCCCCCCCCCCACCTCCGGCCCACTGGCTGACGAGGGG